AGCCTGCACCCCCCTGGGAGGGAAGGCTCGCTCCAGCCGCGTCGTTTCCGCGCCCAAGTGCGATCCGGGGACCCGCGCTGGAGTCCCCTGGTCTCAGGCTGGTCTGGAAGGTGGTGGTGGGGTTCAGGGTCCCTGTAAAGCTGGGGTTCCAGGAGAAACACCAGTACACAAACAAAGGGGTTGGGGAGGGGAAAGAAAAAGTTTTTCTGTTTGGTGTTGGGGCTAAAAATGTCATGTCAGAAAGCAGTGTGCGCTGTGTTCTTAAATAATGCCTAAAGTGGGCCTTAAAACAAGGGTCCCTGTCCCCACGTTCTCTCTAAAAGTCTGCATGATGTTCCTTGTCATTTCTACGGGTTATAAGTGAGCAAGACGTTTACCATGTATCACACTTCTGGGGGCTATTTCAGCGCCCAAGCTGAAGCTGGGGCTGCAGCATGGTTTCTGTTCTAATCCTCCTCCGCGATTTCCACCTCTTCCTTTACACTCAACTCACAGAGAATGGAGTCTGATGCATTCTGTTTCATCACCGGTCAAGAGTGACTTAGAGGGTAGGGTGGAGGCATGAGAAGGGCAGCTTCAGGCAATAGTAATCCTGAAATTTATCATTGCTAAAAATAAATGTGTTCACCTTATTAAAAAGTACAACGGAAAGCCGCCTTTAGGGTAAGTAGCAACCAAGTAGTTAAACAGCAGTCTTGAAGGAAGAACTCCTGATCCCATAAGGCTGGAGAAAAAACGGGGTTAGCCTTTGCTGGTGAAAACAAAAACAAACAAACAAAAAAAAGACATTCGAAACTGCAGTAAAGGGCTTTCATAACAGAAACATTAGCGTCATTGTAGCTTGTGGTGGAAAACAGGGATCTTTTAATAGGTGGTTCAAAAGCATGTTAGGGCTCAACAATTTTCCTTTTTTCCCCAAATACTGCTTCTCCTAGCACATTGGCCAGATAAAACCTACCCCTTCCAATGCTTCATCTTTTTATGAAAACACAGGAAACCATAGACTTGAGTGAAGGCTTTGTTCAGAAAGGTGGATGTAAGACTGGTGGAAAATGACATTTGGGAAATGATCCCCAGGTCTGTGTTAATCCCTCATGGAAAGCCACAGACTCACCCAAAGATAGGAAGTATGAAGATCGAAGCTCTCCTAGCAACATGAAATCCTCCACGTTGCAGCTGCTACGCCCTAGTTCTGATTTTTACTGAGACATTAATGGCACATCATAAATACAAAATGTGCAATGCAAGAAAAATAATACAGCTTTGAGAAATAAGTGCATCATTAGACTCAATAATTAAACTTCTCTGAAATTCTTCTTACATCACACTGTTGTGGGAAGATGGTGAAGGGATTGCCCATTTCAATTTTGGAATAAATAGAAGTAATTCCTTAGGGCATTCTGCTTAAGGCAACCAATGAGTAGAGAGAATATGTTATCCAGGCTTCTAAAGGCAATCATGTGATACTCCATATTTGCTAAAACAAGAGTTGAATTTTTTTTTGTTCTGTATGTGATTCCAAATTTTCAGTCACAATTTCATGAATATTCAGTATTTCTGCATGCCCAGGAGTAATTAGCAGACAGTGTAAATGTGTGAAGGCCTGACACTTACACATACATTGCTTTTCTCTCTATATAGGGTGGCAGTTGCTGGAGTACCAGGGCACCATGTGGAGGATGTGGTAGACAGCCTCTAAGATGCACCCCCTGCCAATGATCTCTGCCTCCAGGTACTCATACCCTTGTATAATCCTCTCCCCTTAAGCTAAATTCATTGACTGAGTTCTGACAAATAGAATATGGCCAGTGATGTGATGTTACTTCTGAGACTCGGTTATAAAAAAAACTGCGACTTCCATACTGGGTCCTCTCTATGCCTTCCGCTCTCTCGGAACGCTCACTGTGGGGGAAGCCAACTGCCACGTCCTAAGGCAGCCTGGTAGAAAGGGAGCTAGGCCTGCCAACTACCATTTGAGAGAACCTGGAAAGGGATGCCTCTTCTTCCCCTATATGAATCAAGACTTCAGATAAGACCTTCAACCCCAGCCAATAGCTGAAGGGCCTCCCTCAGGCCCTTCAGGCAGAGGCACCCAGCTAAGCTGCCTGGATTCCTCACCCACAGAAACTATAAGATAATAAATGTTGTCTTAAGCTGCTGTGTTTTGAGGAATTCATTACACGGCCACTAATAAGACAGAGACCAGTAGAGAATCCATGGGGACTCAGTGACAACTCTGCATGGCCTTCCTGATAGAACATGGAAAGGAAAGCAGGGGCCGGAGCCAGATCTAAGCGTAAGACACAAACCCCAAGAACAGAAGGCCCAGCTCTCAGTCCTTTTGCAGAGCAAGGGTCATTCTTGACTTTAAACTAGGTCAGGGGGTGTGGACTCCTGCTCGGTCCCAGGCAGCCCTGGTATTGGGTGTCACCTACCTGACAGCACATGCAGATGTTTTTGTGTCACCAGAATTGACATCTGTCCAGGCATCCTCTTCCTCCTCCTCCGGGCATTTACCCTGATCCCTAAGGGCTTGGCCCAAACAGTGGCTGTGGAGTCAGGGCTTCATCCTAGAAGGAGAGTTGGCAAGAAGGGCCTTCAACCCTGGCAGCCAGAAGGGGTAGGCGATTTTGGTTGGGGTAGAAGGTCAAAAAACTAGGAAGAAAGGCTTGTGGTCCTGCTGTTGAAGAGCAAGTCCTGGACTATCACTGATAAGGATCAACTCCACACTGCTGCCAGGGCGAGGGAGAACATTCTGTCCACGTGATGGTGTCTTTCTCTCAGCATCATTTCCTCTCTGGCTGGAACAAATTATTTACTTTTAAAATATAAAACAAAGTTTCAGGAAGCAGGAGAGATGTCATACTCAATCCCTGACCAGGGCAGGCACCTACGTGTGATTGCCCCCACGGCTCCCTCGCTTCAGTCAATCCAGTACAAGCCAGCAATTGTAGAGGCCGTTTCTGTTTTCCCTCCAGAGACACTAGGCTCTGATTTTTCTCATGTACAGTGGCCGCAGCTGCTGTGTTGCCATGCCGTCATCCGGTTGCTATGACTTGTGAGGTTGTGGATGTGCCAGAACGTGAATCTATTAATTTAACAGGAACTAGGCTCAGCACATATATTCCTTGTTAGGTCATTTGCTTTGCTACCTAAACCACATCCAATGTGTTCAGCAATGGGCATGTTTCCTAGAGTCTGGCTTTGCAAGAATGCCAAATGCCCCAAATTTTGAGTCTGCACAGTCAGTTTTATATAATTAAATTACTGTGGAGGACAGAAAGGCATTCTAGCATGGGGATGCAAACACATCGTTTCAGGGAAAAAAACCAAGGAGGGGGGAAATGGTTAAAGTCGCTGGTCCTAGTTCTTTATGCATTTAGGTCCTCTCTGCAGGAGGCAGATATACTCCTATCCATAGGAATTCCTCCCTGAGCCCGGTTGCTCACTGCCAAGGTCTGCGCTCTCCAACACCACACTAGGCATCATGTGGCACCATAGAGGGGAAGTACCATCCTTTTCTGTTGTGTTGAGCACATAGACAGACATTGTCTTTTTTTTTTTTTTTTTTTTTTTTTTTTTTTTTTTTTTTTTTTTTTTTTTTTTTTGGAGACAGAGTCTCACTCTGTCTCCCAGGCTGAAGTACAATGGCATGATCTCAGCTCACTGGAACCTCTACCTCCTGGGTTCAGACAATTCACCTGCCTCAGCCTCCCAAGTAACTGGGATTACAGGTTCCCGCCACTACGTCCAGCTAATTCTTTGCATTTTTAGTAGAGACAGGGTTTCACCATGTTGGTCAGGCTGGTCTTGAACTCCTGACCTCAGGTGATCTGCCTGCCTTAGCCTCCCAAAGTGCTGGGATTACAGGCATGTGCCACCACACCCAGCTCAGACAGGCATTTTCCACTCACTTCTTCAGTTAACACTCACTGGATGTCTATTACTGTGTATGCTAGGGATGCAAAGATGAAAAGAACAAAGTCCCTAGTGGGAGAGAATGACATACATTGCAATGCAATATGAGAAGTATTCGAGTTGAGCTTTGCAGAGAGCACTATGAGATCTCAGAGAAGGGGGAAAGTAAGTCTGTCTCAGGAGAGGGGTTATGGGTCAGCACCAGGGTATTTCTTTTTACAAAAAGAGAATATATTAAAACTTAACTTTTTGCATTGCATTGAGTATTGCATGCAATATTGGTTGTATTGCATTAAGTAATAATAAGTATTGTTTTGTGTAGCATTTGTTTCAATTATGTACTATATAGGTACATTCGTGCAGTGTCAGAATGTAAAACAAATTTCCTACATTCAGATAAAGAAGTGTGAAAGTTCTGGGTTTAGAGACTGATAAATAAGGCTGGGTGTGGTGGTTCATGCCTGTAATCCCAGCACTTTGGGAGGCTGAGGTAGGTGGATCACCTGAGGTCAGGAGTTGGAGACCAGCCTGGCCAGCATGGTGAAACCTTGTCTCTACTAAAAATACAAAAATTAGCTGGCCGTGTTGGCACATGCCTATAATCCCAACTATTCAGGAGGCTGGGGCAGGAGAATTGCTTAACCCGGGAGGCAGAGGTTTCAGTGAGCTGAGATCGTGCCATTGCACTCCAGCCTGGGCAACAAGAGCAAGACTCCATCTCAAGAAAAAAAAAAGAGGGGGAGAGAGAGAGAGAGATAAAGTGATAAATAACTACCACACACTGAACGCCTTCGATAGGCCAGGCATCAGGGTGTTGGCGTCCCACTGTATAGCTGAAGAGGTTAGCTATGACTTAAGAGATTTTCCAAATCCTTCCAGATTCTCCCTCCTTAGTAAAGCAAAGGCCATGCCTGAATGACCAGCTCCTGGAGTCCTCTCTTAGCAGAGCAGAGGCCATTTCCACCAGAACAGCAAGGCCAACTCTAATATAGAGATAGAGAAAGCCCTAAGATAGATAGAGAGAACCTAAGATGGAGAAAGCCCCACTCCCTTTCTGGCCTGCTGGCAGGTAGGAAGGGTAAGGAGAGAGAAGAGGGTCAGAAGGGTCTCATGCTTATTCCTCCTCTCCAGGTCTTGGATGGGGTCTGGACAGGTGCACTACCTAATGAGTGGTACTCCGTACACAGAGGGGGCTCTCACCCAGCTCCCCACTAGGGACTCTGGGAGGAACCTGTATCCAAGGCTGTTTTATGCCCAACCAGGGGCAGCCATGCCAAAGTGAACCTGGCAGTAAAAACCCGAGTAGGCAGAGAGAAGCTCTGAGGCTGAGCTCTCCTGAGTCCCCCTGATTCTTGCATGGCATGGATATCACGTTGGGAACCAGCAGCCTGCTGTGTGTGGGACAGCCCTGATGGGGCAAGGTGACCCTACAGCAAGCTCAGAGGAGGTCAGGGGTCTGCACCACTGAGAACAGAGGGAGAAATGAGCATCAAGTTGCAATGGGGAGGAACCAGTGTTGGAGGGAGGGGGTCGGCTTTGCTAAAGAATGAACCACAAGTTTGCATAGCAGAGCAGCAAGGCCTGAAGAGTAAGCAGAAACCAAAAGGACAAGGCAGCTTGGTATGGGGGCTTAGGAACAAGGATTCAGGATGGTCCACAGGCTGCCTGGCTGCAAGGCCCATCTCTGCCATATACTATCTGTGTGACCTTGGACAGGTTACTAATCTTTTTGTGCCTCAGTTTCCTTATCTGTAAGACAAGGATGATAATAACAATTGTACATATTTGATAAGGTTGTTATGAGAATTAAATTAGTTTGTAAAGCTCTTACATATAAGCGTTCTATAAGCATCAGTTAAACAAGTAAATCATCCACCAGACAATAGGATTCTACATGGATAGCAACATCCTATGTCTCCCACACCCTCAAGTTGGACTGTCAGTTAAAAATTCCCGCAACCAGCCAGGCGCGGTGGCTCATGCTTGTAATCCCAGCACTTTGGGAGGCCGAGGCAGGCGAATCACGAGGTCAGGAGTTTGAGACCAGCCTGGCCAACATGGTGAAACCCCGTCTCTACTAAAAATACAAAAAATTGGCTGGGCGTAGTGGCGGGCACCTGTAATCCCAGCTACTCGGGAGACTGAGGCAGTAGAATCGCTTGAACCTGGGAGGTGGAGGTTGCAGTGAGCCGAAATTGCGCCACTGCACTCCAGCCTGGGTGACAGAGCAAGACTCCGTCTCAAAAAAAAAAAAAGAAAAGAAAAAAAATTCTCCCAACCATCATCAGCTCATGGGGAGGACTGGATCAGTTATAGACTGCACATTTAAGATGTAATCTACATTATGGCCAGGCGCAGTGGCTCACACCTGTAATCCTAGTACTTTGGGAGGCTGAGGCGGGTGGATCACCTGAGGTCAGGAGTTGGAGACCAGCCTGACCAACATGGGGAAACCCCATCTCTATTAAAAATACAAAAAAATTAGCCAGGTGTGGTGGCCCATGCCTGTAATCCCAGCTACTTGGGAGGCTGAGGCAGGAGAATCACTTGAACCTGGGAGGCAGAGGTTGCAGTGAGCCGAGATCATGCCATTGCACTCCAGCCTGGGCAACAAGAGTGAAACTCCATCTCAAAAAAAAAAAAAAAGTAATCTAAATTAAAAGGCTTGACCCTCCCCAAACACAGTCCAACTGGGAAGACAGACACAGCAAGTCTTTACATTTACTTACCTCCGGTTGTCCAAAAGTAATTCAGAAGGGAACTGCAGTAGGCAGAATAAAGATCTTCCCCCAAATGTTCATATTCTAATAAATATGGGAATATGGTACGTTTCATGACAAAAGGGAAATTAAGGTTGCAGATGCAATTAAGATTTGCTAATTAGCTGACCTTAAAATAAAGCAGTTATTCAACCAGACTTCCCTTCCCCAAAAAATAAATGCATAAAAAATAAAGCGATTATCTTGGATTATCAAAGTAGGTTCATTATAATCACAAGGGTCCTTAAAAGTGGAACCAAGAGGCAGAAGAGGAATCAGAGTCAGAGGAAAGTGTGATTATGGAAGAATGAATGGTTGAAGACATACAGCATTGCTGGCTTTGAAGACGGAGAAAAGGGGTCATGACCCAAGAAATACAGATAGTTTCTGGAAGCCAGAAAAGGCAGGGAAACAAATTCTCTGGAACCCCAGAAAGGAACATGATCTAGCCAGCACCTTGATTTTAGCCTGGTAAACTTGCATTGGATTTTTGACCTACAGAACTGCAAGGTAAAAAGTCTGTGTTGTTTTAAGCTGCCAAGTTGGTGGTAATTTGTTACAGTAGCCATATACAACTGTGGTAATTTGTTATAGTAGCCATAGAAAACTACCGCAGGGATGTCTTCTAAATGTGGTGTTCTCTGTGAAGTGTCTATGCCAGGTATTAGAAGCCCTGGTTTTTATATAAGAGCCTGAGCAGAAAGTCAAACTAGGTGGGCCAAGCAATGTCCCAGGATGCTAGGTCACCAGAAGGTTTCCAAAGTAACAAGCCACTAGAAAGTCAATGGCTTGAGTCCCAAACTCTGAAACAGTCTACTTTTTTTTTTTTTTTTGACACGGAATCTCACTCTGTCACCCGGGCTGGAGTACAGTGATGCAATCTTGGCTTACTGCAACCTCTGCCTCCTGGGTTCAAGCGCTTCTCCTGCCTCAGCTAATTTTTTTAGGTTTTTTTTTTTTAGTAGAGACGGGGTTTCACCATGTTGGCCGGGCTGCTCTCGAACTCCTGACCTTGAGTGATCTGCATGCCTTGGCCTCCCAAAGTGCTGGGATTACCGGCGTGAGCCACCATGCCTGGCCGTGA